GTGTTCTGTGTACTTCTGTGTATGTTCATCTTATTGATTGTTGAATAAAGTACTGTTTGACCAATCAGACAGCAAGTTAGGCGGGACTAGGAGTCAAGGAGGATTCTGGGAAATGTAGTAGAGAAGTGCTGATCCAGGCAGAATATGACATAGCAGGGAGATTCATACATAAACAAGGGAAGAAGGAAGTGGGCCCCTTCTCTCTTCCTCCAGAGTCACCACGTGATCCCGGGGATGAGGACGCCAATGGAAGGTGTCCGATAAGATAAGTCTTATAAAATATATAGATTCATGATAATTAAGACTGAGCTAGCAGATGAGAATCCTAGTCATTGGCCAAGCAGCATTTGTACCTAATAGAAGTCTCTGTGTATTATTTGGGGCCCTAACTCGGAGGGCAGAACACAGACGACTGGCGGAAAGCGCCCATGTGGCAGTAGGGTTCGGGCGGCTTTTGGCGGAAAGATTTATCGTAACATCAATCTGTCCATCTCTACATCCGTCCATGTGTCCACCCATCTATTCATCTGTCTGTCCACCCACCCATCTATCTGTTCTTCCATCCATCCATCCATCCCTCTCTCCCTCCATTTTTTATCTATCCATTTCTTTATCCACCTCCACCCATCTACCCTCTTTTTAGTCTCCACCTACCAGGTTAATTCATATATGTTCAGTGGGTGGTTAATTCTTACCATAGGTTTCTAGTTCTGACCTGGGGGGTTGCCTTTTGTCGGGGGGAGCAGAGTCTCTCTATGTAGCCCTCGCTGTCCTGGAACTCTCTATGTAGACCAGGCTAGCCTTGAACTCACAGAGATCCTCCTGCCTCTGCCTCCTGAATGCTAGGATTAAAGACATGAGCCACCTCCCCACTCCCTGTTTGGGGCTTTGTGTTTTGAACAGCTGGCTCCAGTAAACATGCTGAGAATGGCAAGAGCAGTTGGGTTCATTTCCTCATTTCTCGGTGTTAGATCCCCAGGACTGTGGGTGGGGGCGAATCTGCATCTCCCCAATTCAAAGTGAAGACCGAGTCTCCCCAGCCCCATGAATGTCGGGACTTGTCTGCCCCTGCCCTTGCCTCATCCCAGTGTGCATGGTCCCTATAGTGGCCCTGAGTCCCAGCTCTGAGGGCTATGTTTTGGGGCTCTGGGGAGCTCCCCGAGCGGGAGTGACCTTTTGTTCTGCATTGTGCAGGGGCTTTCTGTTCCTCATTGTTTAGCCCTGACGAGGTTGTGGTTTGGTATATTTTTTTTCTTTCTCTGTCCAAGAGAATAAACAGGCCTCGAGGGTGTTGAGGGAGGGCTGGGCCCTTATGCCAGCCACTTGGGTTGGGGTCACACAGAGCCAAGGAGAAAGTACCAGAGTCCTTATTCATTGTGAAGCTGGGGACAAGGAGGGCCCTGGCAGGCAGGAGCTGAAGGCCATGGGGTCCAGCTGGCTACTAGGAGCCCTTGGCCATGGGCAGGTCAATGAGACAATCCAATTTGGTAAAGCCAAGGCCCTTTCCCATCAGACCCTCTAGGTCTGGCAGGAAGTTGTCCCCTACCCAAAGCAGTGTTTCTCTGGGCAATTAGAAGCCGCCCAGGCCCCAGATGAGGTAGGGGCTCCCCTGATTACCACAACCCAGGATACTGGAGGGAATAAACTCCAGGACTGGCAAGGGTAGGGTTCCTATGAGATCCAGGCCACCTACAGCCCCTGGTTGTGGGGAGGGAGACTGCTGTTTGAGGAAGTGGAGAGAGTGGGGTGAAGGAGAAGGTACTTAGTTAATGAGACAGTTTCCCCAGGGAGACTAGTCTGGGAGTTTTGTGGGGGACACTCAAGCCCTCCGTGTCAGTTAGCATTCTGTGGAATGATGGGTGAGAAAGCTATGACACTGTGATTTCCGGGGTTCGGTCCCCACCCTTCCCATTGGCTCTGTGAGTCCTGCCTTCTCCCAGCTTATCTTGCTCTGTCCATGGGGTGGGATAATCAGACCTATGGAGCACAGCAGAGGACTCTGCTGCCTGGGGAGAGTTCTATCTTATTTTTCCTTTCTTCTTTTGGAGCAGTGTCACCCCCTATCCCTGAGATACCACCCCCCGTAGGTGTGGAGGGGGCAACCAGTACCACTGACACCCTTTGCCTTGGACACAGGCAGTGAGGTCCCAGACAGTGTGGAACACCCTTTTAGCGGCTGCTTCGTTTCAGTGCATCCTTTCGTCATGAAATGGGAGAGCAAAGTGTCAGGATAGTGTGTGCACACATGTGTGCGTGTATGTGTGCCCCTGTCCAGAAGGAGCTGCAGTAGCTTTTTCAGACTGGGTACCCAGCACAGTTGGCTCTGAGGCGTCCCTCACCCAGCTGCCTGCATGACCTCCCTGGAAAGATGGTTTTGGTGGGGGACTCAGGAACAGGCCAGGATGGCAGGTGCATTTCTGTTCAGAGGCCCAGGATGAGGGCCTCTCCTCCACGAAATGACATTGGAATTA